AATAATTACTTTTTTTTAATGTATTGCTAGTAATAATGGGGGGGGGGGTGCTCAACAAATTCACTGTATAATTTTTTTCATCAAGCTTATGTATTAGAATGTTATGAGTTTTTGCTTGTCTGGTTTATAGTGGGTGTGTTTGGTCCTGTTTGATCTTTTTTTCCATTAGATTCTATTGGTGATCTTTGTCTGGATGATGACTGTTCCCTTATTTGAGATGAGATTTGTTCATCCATTTCTCTTGGTTCTTCAGTGATTTACTGGGTGTGTGTTATTTCATTTATGAACCTTTTATTTCTCTTGTGAATGTTTGGAGGGTTCTATTTCTTGTAGAATTTTTGTACTTTGGATTGGGGTTTTCAGAGTTATTTGTTTTGTACTTATAGATTCTTTTTTTGTTTGAGGTTGATAGGATAGGATTTATATTGACTATGGGTGTTTGTGGTGTGTATGGTATACTAAATTTTAGTAGTTCTATTTTTTTTTTTCATTCATTTATTAGAATCGACAGTTCTTGGTTTCTTATTGTCTGGAGTGAAGTCCATCAGGAGTCTGTCAGTCAGTCAGAGCGAGCGAGTCAGTCGAGTCAGAAGCAGTCTGAAACAGAGTCGTGTTCAGACATTCAGACATCTACAAGACATTGGAATAGTGATACTGGTCGAGACTACATTGTTCTCTCTGCTAAACTTGATTGTTCGTACTAACACTTTCTACTTTTCTGTATATATTCCTGTTTGTAATATATCTGTGTTATTCCATATTCCATGCTTGAGTTCTTCTTTATTGGTTCTACCTTGGACCATCACCGTGGTACAAGGAACCGGACCATAACAGTATCCTATTTTTATTTCTTTTGGTAGGGCAGGTTCATTGAATGTCAAAATGTATGCATTTGTGTTTATTGATGCACCATTTCTTTTTATTTGAATTCTTTTGACATCTGTTATACCTTGATTTTTTTTTTTTTATAGGGTGTCATCATTTTTAATTTCTTCCAGTGCAGGGTGACAGTTGTAAGCATTTTATTACTCCCTTAGAGGAATTAAGAAATTGGTGTGGGTAAGCTTTCACTTTAATGTCATTTATTTGATTGATTTTTCATGTTTTCTGCATCTTTTTTGGTTTTTACTTGAATAAGAAATGTGTTATTTTACTTTGTTTTTTTTTTTTACTGACTTTGGTTTTATCATGACTGATATAACCTTTTGTAATACAAAAGGTGAAGCTTTTATTATTTCACCCTCTAATGATTTATGACTATGAAAATTATTTTTTTCTTGGTATTTCATTGTCACTTTCTGTTTTAGGGTTTTTGTACTGTCCCTTGGATTGTTCATAAGAGTTAGTCATATAATTTTGTTTTTGTATTCACTGTCTGTGCTCCCCACCTGCCTCAGAGTTCCTTCTTAAGGGATGCTATCAGGGTGGACTAATTCCATTTGCCTTGATCTGCCAGAGCTACAGTATAGTCATGTTGAAAGTAACTGCAAGCACCCACATTCCCCTACCATATCTACCCAAGTATAGTATGGTGTAAAGATTCACAGCTATGTCATAGCCATTCTTTTCATCTCAACTAGTCCTTGCCACCAGGTCAGGAGTCACTCTGTTGCCAGGCATCATGGGTTTCCACCCACGGCAAACAGGTGGTCCCATTTGTAGTTTTTGGGAATCAATTTTCATAAATATGTGCTTTATACATTTCAATTTTATAGGCATTTCTGTATGAACAGATAGTTTAGGCAGAGCATTTTGTGTAAAAAAGTTAGTTTGTTGATTATGATTTTTGTTGGTAGTTTAAATGTTTTTTGTTTTATTTTTTAAAATAGATTGTTTGTATGGAAAAACTATATTAATTTTTCTGATGGAAACATCCGCGGTATAAACAGATAGGTTGTAGGCTTATTGTATAAGTCAACAGCATGTAGGTGAAGTTTTCCTCATACAAATAATTAGTTTCTAATCCATCTTCATTCCTATACTATGCCTGGTGGTAGTTTAAGTCCCACCCAGAACATAATTGAATTTGTTTTTGTTTTTTTCCGGGGGGGGGGGGGCGACATAATTGCAGTTTAGCTCCATGCCCAGAATGTGGATGCAGTTTAACATCATGCCCAGAATATTCTTAGTTTTGAAAAGCATTTCTAATGACAATATCTACCTCTTCCCCACCACAAAAAGAAAATAAAAAAAATAAAAAATGCAAGCAGAAAGATCTAAATAAACCTTCCAATATTATTAAAATACTTTAATGTGTAAGAACCAAATTATGTATATTAATAAGTAATTTACGCAACTGACATTTTTAATCAACAATTTTTCTCACCATCAAGCACCAATCTTATAAATTAAAATATTCATTAAGTAAGCTCTGTATGATCAACCTCAGTTAATTAATCAGGTTTTAATGCAATAAAGATTAGATAAAGGAATAACTGGGTATAAAACCTAGATGCAATTTTATAAAATAGATTTAAATAGGTACCACCACATAAATCATGATACCTAAGATTTAAAATGAATTTTTAAAAATTAAAAATCTTTCTTGAAGCTTTTATTTTAATATCAAGCTAATAGCTTAAATTTAATATTTCCAATAAGCAAAATACTTTGCTGCATTTCAAAAACTAACTTAAATTAACTGGAAGGAGTGTTTGTTTTTTGTTTGTTTGTTTTTTTTTTTATGGTGATTAGTACCTTTTTTAGTCATCTTTCATCACAATGTAATTCCATTTATTAAAAAATCTACCAAAACAAAATATATTTTTCTGAAACTTTATTTGAGGAATATTAGCTGATTTAAAGTATAATTAATTGATTTAAAACAAATATTATTTACTTCAAGTTTAAAATATCACAGAAATGCATTTTTTTTTAACAGTATCTGTTTATTTAAGCTGCTGACATGCTGGACAGATTGATGTTTATCTAATGTTGTTCTATGGGAGGCTTTAGCTATAAGAAATAATTGAATATAACATGAGCACCTTTTATATATCATTTTTAAGTACTCAGTAATCTTAAAAGTTTCAGAAAATATTCTCTGCAATCTAATGTTCATTGAATTTTAGATACTTTCTGGCTTTAAATTTAATATAGTTATCACTCTTATTTTCTGATAATGGCATGTATGAACAACTGTATCTATAAAAATCAGCATGTTTATATACATACAAAACATTTCAAAATTCTTTTAAAAATATTGGTGTTTGATGATTTGTACTAAGCATTACATTTATGATTAATAAATATAGGTTTTACTTAATAATAATATCATCTAAAAGGCTGAAGTTAATATAAAATTTTAAGATTTAAAACTTAATAACTTATAATTAAAATTTAAAAAAAAATGAAAACAATTCATGTAAAAAATTCATTACTTATCGAAAAAAATTTTTTTCTTAAGATAATAGTGTCTTTAATATATCTTATTTAATAAAGCAATTAAAAGCTTTTCTAATTAAATAATGTGTTAGTTTTATTGCATTTTTTATTTTATGATTCAGAGCAGATTTTCAGTAAATGGGGCTTCTGTTTGACAACAATGAATTGATAATTTAAATTCTCCAAGGAGTCCTGATTTTAACTAATATAAATATTAAGAGTGTAGAATTTTAATTTCTCTGAATTTCCGAAAATTAAGTGGGAGTAACAGATGTAAAAAAATATTTTTACCAAGATTCTAAAACAAAAACAAAAAAATTAAAAAAAAATATTTTTAAATAATTTCATACATGAATAAGACCTGACAATTTCATTAAAATCCAATAATTGTTTGATTTTTGCAAGAATTTAAAAAAAAAATGTGTGTTACCACAAAAAAGACACTAATTTCTCATACTAATCTTTGGTCCACCTGCTAACACAAGAAAAACAAAAACTTTAACCAAAATTTTGAACATGCAAGAAAGGATCAAAAAATTTAATATAATAATCAAAAACTACTTCAGTCTTTCATCTTTTTAGTTTTATCATGGTATGTTCTTTTAACAAATTTTTTGGAGGTACCTAGATTTAAACAAAAACAGTAAGCAAATGATATTGACATGCCTTTTCAAACAGAAACCTAGTGTTTACCAATGGAAATAAGAAATATATATATATATATATATATATATATATATATACACAAAACATTATTTAGCGGATACTCGTGTTTGAAATAGACACATTTTTATTTATATTATTTTTAAACAGTGTTTATTACATCAACCGTTATCATCTGCCTGTTGTCTGTATTCAAGAAATCTAAAAGAAAAATGTGCTCTCTAGCAGGAATCAAACCTGTCCCTCCCCTTTATATGAGAAACCACCATGCTTTACTGCTCAGCAACAGATGTCGGAGTACAGAAAATCATCTCTTTCAAATAAAAGTTTTTAATATAACAATTTTTGAAATCATAAAAATGTCAGATTAAAAATAAATTCATTGACTTATATATACACACACACACACACCTAATTGAATAAATTACAAACATTATGTCTGCTTATTTTTATCATAATCCTTTCATATTCACAAATATTTTCCCATATATTACAATCAAATGAGGCAAGAAATGCACTGTAACAGTGAAAAATCACTTATTTCTCAAGTGTGTGTATGTGTGTGTGTGTGTGTGTGTATATATATATATATATATAATTATTTATTTAAAAATATGATTCCAAATCGCTACATAAGAGGTCTCATGTTTCAAAACAAGAGCCGAAAACTTCAATATAATCCTTTAAATTAAATTGAGTTGAAATTAAAAAGGGCTCCGTTCCATCTTCAAGCGAAATTTTTGTTGGAATAACATATATCTGAAATTTACTTGTTTTAAAAATTGAAATCAAAATCACCATGGTAACAGATAGGGCGAATTGTCTATATATATATATAAAAACCAAGCTTACAGCTAAGCATGATTTCAAATATAAAATATTAAAATAATGCTGCAAGTATGAATCTTTTTGTTATGAGAATTGGTCAAACAAAATAAATATCTGCTACTTACCATATTAAAAATATCACCACCTCCAAATTTTTGTCTACACCTATCTTCAAGGAAATAGATTCTCAATTTGAGGCTAAAATTTTCTTTTCTAAGCTCTTCTATCAACTGAAAAATACAAATTGAAAAAGAAAATCATTAATAAATTTAAAATGAATGAGCAAAATTAAAACGAAATTTATTCTAAAATAAAAAGAAAATGTTAATGTTCTTAATTCATGAGAATATTGATAGAAAACTCAAATTTTGTACATGTCAATTTATTATTACAAATCAAAGAAACAAAAAACTATAAGAAGATAAATTTGAAAAACCAAAGAAAAAAAGAAAAGAAAAGTATCCTTAATTCTGACAACTATTTAGTCAGAGACTGATCATTTCATAACGAAACATATTTTGGCTCAAGCAATTCTAAACCCAAAACCAATGTGAAATCACATCAATTATTCAAAAATATGGATTTTACTCACTCTCTTTTCAGCCTCTCATGATTATCTATCTAAAAAATGTATACTTCTGTTCAAGATCAGCTGATAATAAAAACAGCATTTTAGGGGTAGGGTTGATTTCAAACAATGTATTTATAACAAACACATAAAACAGTATATGAATGACAACTGTCTTATGGGTAATGGGCAACTGAAGAAATGTCAAATTAATATTGAAGGAAGATTACAAAAAATGTGAAAGATAATATCTTAAATATAAAACTCAGTTATTAATGTAGACAATTTCTTTACACTTTACATCTTATTTTGAAAACTGCAAATGCATAGGAATGTGCTTGCATGTTTTTATGCTAACTTTTTTTTTTCTTTGGAATTCCACATATTTCATGCAAACATTTGCTGAATTTTCATCAAATTACCAGGAAATCATTAAACTTTCAAAGATTTTATTGTTTTAGTATGGAAGCCAATTAGAGAAAAAAAAAAAAATTCTTAGCTACTTAAAGTTTCTCAGTTTGCATCTAATATTAAAAGGCTGCTTAAATTCAAGATTGACATTACATCAGGCATAATGAAACCATAAAGGAAAAAGTGGAACATTTTTTTCTGTATCCATTAATATTCTTGATAATTTATAATACTAATACAACGATAAAGAAATGTATTTCAAGTAAAAGCATCATTCAAAAAAAAAAAAAAAAGAAAACGAAAAGCCTTAAATTCCAGATAAGATCTTAAGATAAAATTATGCTTTCAAGAGATGAGATTTGTTATCACAGAAAAGTTACGATGGGTAAAGAAAAAAAAAAAAAACCTTGACTACTACTATCTTTATTTCTTTAAATAGTATCACTTTAGTTTGTCCAGTTTTACAGCTCCAGCTTTTTTCTTTCTTTTTTTATATACATCTTCTGCTTAGTATAAATATAATAATGCTTATACCATGAATTGGGATGTGCATGTGTGTGTGGTGTAGTGGTTAATGGTACAGAAAGTGGGATTGGCATACAGAGTTCAAATTTCAGCCAAAATCACTGTATTCACTTTCACACAAATATCCTTAGAAAGGTATGAACGCACCTGCCACCCCCACTTAACAGCAGGGCAGCTATCAACTCCACCCCCATAAGAAGAAAAGCTTAGTACAGAAACTATAGCAGCAATTCCTAGCATGAGGAGACTGCAGCCCCATACTCGAAAAGTGGGGGAGTTTACAGGTCCAACATACAAAGATATATTATCGATTAGTCAACCCAACAAATATTGTGAGGAAACATAACTTATACAAAAATCCTACTCTTGAATTCATCTCATGATATAATAGAAAAGATGGCCTCCTAACAGACATGCTTTTCTGAGCTAAATAGTTATTTAATAATTAATAAAAATTCATCTCTACAGTTAATTATGATCAATTGGTTTAAAACACTACAGCCAGATTTAACAATCATTGTGTATATTTCGATCAGCTATCAATAAAATCTTACTAGAAAAATATTCAATTAATAAAAAGAGAGTGAATTTTAAAAATGTCATAACTTCAATATATAAAGAGTGTGTACATGTGATTTAAGTTTCTTTTTACATGTAGCCAACTTGATTTTTCTTTCTTTTTGTTCTGCCAATTGAAAAAAGATTTAAAGAGCAGCAGTTGCACAATTTGTAATTGGATGCTTTGGTAATTGAACAGCTAAAAAACAAAAATGTTGAGCTTTCACTTCAAGGCCTTGATATGTATCACTTCCTAAAAGAAATCAAAGCAGCCGAATAGGAGTTATTTGCTTATTTCTTCTTTTTCAATAATGAAAGTTTCCCAATTGAACTCCAAAAATAAAAATAAAAAATTGATTTCTCGGATAAATGGAAAATTGCCAACCCTAACATTGCAATTGAATATCATATCCACTCCATTTTTTTGCCAAGATCTGCATCATGGAATTAGCTTTGTACATCTGCCAACTTATTATTTTAGACTACATAAAAACACTTCTATTTTTTTTTTTTTCAGCTGTGCCTTACTTTTTGACCTCTACCACATCCACAACATGCATTCACATACAAAATAATACTTTATGTAATAAATATGGAAAATAAGATAAACAAATGTTCTCCTGCTTATGTACAGTCATTTTATAATAAAGAGATAGAATAACAGGAAATTAAATAAGATTTTAACAAAATATCATCAGCTAATAAACTATTTTCTATAATATAAGAGAAAATTATGAGTACATTCATTATTCTTCTTTGTATGGTATTAATATATTATTTTACTTATACAAATATCACCAAACTCCCAGAGAAAACAATACTATCACAATACACCTTTTCTGTTATTCCATTTGAAACTTGGGAATATTTGTAATAATTTTTGTTGTAGCATGAAACAAATCAAGCCATGTATACAATGCTGAAGGGGAAGTGAAATAATTATACTGCTTACATAAGCACATTATCATTCAAGGATATTTTGGGTCTAAGTCAGGCATGGGCAACCTTTTCTGACTAGTGGACCACATGAGATATGGCTCATCATCAAGTGGGCTGCTCTACTAAAAAGATTCAAGGTAATTTTTCATTGAAGTTGCCTTAGCCATTTTCACTATAAAACATACATGTAAACATCTGTTTTAGAAATGGGAAAATTTATTTTTTTTACCTTTGGAGTAAAGATTATTCTATAATTAAAAAATAAAATCTTGGTATAATATTAACACAGATGACAGTGGGATTAACATATGCCGCTTCCTGTGATTAATTTCTAATTTATTCATTTGAAAATAAATAAAAATTTAATAAAAAGATATATTTCTTCTCCAAAGAAAAAATTATTACGAATGTTTCTGGTTTATAAAGAAAAAGGTATTTTCATGTCTTATCTCCCTTAGTGAAAATCAGCAATGCTTTAAAATGATGAAAACATTACCTTTGAGAAAAGTTTAAAAGTTCAAGAAACATTGCACTTAATCATTGTTTATGTATGTGGTTATGGATGAGAGTGTGTGAATGAAGAAGTGAAAACAAAATGAAAGCAAAGAAATTTTATTTCCCCTCATGAAATTAGTCATGCAATTCAGAAAGCAGTTTTGCCCATGACTTGTCTAAGTAAATGTCCCATGTCCCATTGTCAATGACTTATAGCCATTCAAAAAAAATTATTCAGATTTGAAACAAGTCAAAACATTAACTTTAAGAAGTTAAACAGCTTTTTTTCTTTCACTGGCTTGAGGGACCAACTAAAGCGGTAATGATAGTAAATTTTAGTAAAAATTACTTTCACTGATGTTTCTTTTCACATTCAGTGCCCAAAGATGTTAAATGTTTTTGCTATTTTACTTGTTAAGTGGCTATTTTACTTGTTAATTTACATTTTCTTTTTTGATATTTGTCCCTTGAATTCATTTAGTCCTCTATATGCTTATTGGATGAACATCTGCTTTCCAATTAGACTATTTAATCTCTGCAGAATATCTACCATTCTATTCTTTGTCTACACACAGAAAGAAAAGAAAACATTGGCAACAACGATGTTATTAGTTAAATAAATGAACTGAATTTTAACTAATCACAACTAAATATTCCAACATTACATTCCACATATTTTTCTAATGAACAGATACCTAAAATCTGAATATTAACAGAGACAGGGCACTAAAAATATTAAATATCATCCCAGCTGAAGTCTTTAAATCAATTTTAGATATTCAGTGAACTTAATAATAATAATAATAATAATAAAAAGGAAGACAGAAGCTAGCCAATATAAGATCACCGGATGTAAAAACCTATTTGGCCTTTAAGAGTTATTATATGCCCAAGTTCAAATGACACCAATTAGCCTCACACAGTGAATTATCAAGGTTTATGTTGGAATCCAGCAATTGTAAGGATAGTTGCAAATGGTAAATGTCATTAAATTAGAAAACAATTTTCAAATTGTTACTCTTACAAGAAACACAGAAAATTAGTTAAAATGAATTCAGGAATTAAAATTTGGGTTAAAAAATGTTTAATGACAATTATTGTCTATTCCAAATGTTCAACTCTTCAACTGGGAAGTTTGCATCAATTACAAAATATGTTAGATTCCTACAAATCTTACTGCAAATTATCCACAAGTTTCTGCGGTTTCATGGTAAAACAATATTATTTAGGTGTTAAGGAAAATATAAAATTAAATTAAAATGTATAATAAAATTTGAATAAGATCTTTAACCAGTATCTATTTTAATATTAATTTATTTAAATATAATCTTAGAAAAATAAATTTTGTTTGAAACTTTGAGACTAATTGTTGCTAATAAAAATTTTGGGCTATTAACATTGTTTTTGTTACTATTTTTAACAAGTGTTTTGGCATTTCCTTTTCAGACCTTCTATAGTCTGAATATGTGTCCAGTATAAAGTCTTTTGCTGGTCTATTAGTTACCAGGGCACATATTTGACAAAGAACCCAATAGAAAAATATAGAAGCTAAAAGAATTAATATGAAAGTGATGAGCCAAAAAAATAAGACACCTGGCTAATAAAAAAAAAAAGCATTCAGCAATGTACTTTCAGGTGTTGTATCTGTAATGATACAGAACAGTGTAATGCAAGCTGTCATTCAAACTGAAGTGTGAAGGAATGGTAATGCTGAAAATTGAACAAAAGTTATGAGCCACTAAAAGAAAATTAAATTTACTGATACATTTAGACATTAAAAGTCATTATCAGTACTTAGTATGGCTTCCATTGGTAAAAACCATAGCCTCAACTCAATGTAAGCTGAAGAATACAGATTCAACATTCTTCCATCAGGAACCTTCTACTATTCCTTCCGATAGTAAATCTTCATACAATTTTTGAATTTCTGTTATACACATGGATTCTCAAATCTCTCTACACAGGTTCAATTATGTTATGGTCAAGGCTTTGGGCATACAGATGAATCTTTTTAATACTGCAATGTTTTTATCAGAGAGAAACTTGTTTGTTGCTCCCAATGTATAGGAACATGCTCTGTGATATATTTCATCTTCTGCTATATCAGGTTAAGAGGTGAAACCTTAGCAAAGTAATGTATTTTTTGCTCTTCCATATACTATCAATTTTTATAAAGCTTTTGGTTTTTTTGTTTTTTTACATCACCAAATATTTTGAAGTAACCCAAACCATTTGATTTTACAGTCTTCCTTGAATATTTTGGATTCTTTCTTAACAGAATGACACAATGGAAAAAGATTTATATAACACATTTCATAATTTAAAAAGACTTTATCAGATTAAAAGACATTACATAAATCTTTTTCCATTTTGTCATTCAACTGGCTAATATTGTTTTGATATATAGACATTTATATATCATATTCTGCAATTGTTTCTTGTACCAAATGGTCTTCAAACATACACCCTTGTATTAAAATGTAGTTCAAATTTGCTTTCATCACTAAATGTCACTGTGGCTTATTTTTCATTCTCCCATAGCAAATGTTCTTTTGTCTTGTTCACTGTGTTTTAGTTAATGATGCCCCCCCCTCACTGCAATGTATCCATTCAGATTATTTCTATATAGTTTCATTCTTATTGTATGAACAAACATTTCATTAATAATGTTACTTTTAGCCATTTCTTGACAAGCAGTTGAATTTGGGTTGGATATTATAATTAGCCTTTTCTTATCTATTTAGGTTCAATTATAAAGATTTACCAGTCTCTTTTCTTATTCAAAATGCTTCTAAATCCAGTCTGATTCTTTTGGATTACTTAGACAAAGCAGCTTGAGATTCAAAGTTCTAAATTTGCATACTTATCTTATTCTATGAAGTCATTTACCATGAGGAGGAGTGGTGGGGGAGTCAAGTGGCTCTAACTTTTGAATGCCTTATTAACTTATTTTCTTTAATTAATGACTCACATATCTTGAAACTTAGAGTGCATGCACACAAAACTAATCTGAAAGAACATAATCCATGAAACTTTTACAAAACATTATTTATACTATTGTCCTCATCTTTGTTGTTGTTGCTGCTATCACAACAACAAAGATGAGGATACTAGTGTAAATAATGATAATTCTTCATCCCAGAAATTATACAAAACATCTTCAATATTATACAATACAACAAAACTCAATAAAGGGTAAAAATTCTACTTGAAGAAGGTTGAAGAATAAACCAGCCAAAATGAAATGTTGAAGGAAAAAAAAAAAAAAAAAAAAAAAAAAGATGTAAGATTTCATTCATTTTTATATTCTTCACTTATGTGCCATGCATGATACATGCATAGGCGATCATGTATCTTTTGATACATGACTGACAAGGCAGATATTTTTTTCCCCTGCAGTAAGTTGGCATTTCTTTCTTCCATAGACCAGTTGCCATCCAAGGCTATAGAACCCAGTCTGTCCTGCTATTTACCCATAACTGGGGTGAAGAAGATGAGGATTCATACTTTTCCCAAGGGTATTATTACATAAGTGAATGTAATGGATTCAACTGGAATTCAAACTTGACTCTCCAATTCCTCAATCCAAGCCACTATCCATTACCGTGCCTCCTATATTATATTCTTACTAATTCATAAAACACAGTATAAAAATAAATACTAGCAAAATATCTCAGGTATAATAATTATTTTTACATCAATTTCTATAAAAAAATTGGTTAATTTGTATCCAAAAACAAATTATAGTATGAAATTATTCACTATTTGTTTGAAAAAGAAAAAAAAAAAGAAAAGAAACACCCACACACATGCACATTAAGAATGTGTTTTCATTTCCAACAATGTTATAGAATGTATTCTAACAAAATTATTTAAATTTAAAAATTACTGTGACCAAAATTAGAGTGCATTTCTGAAGTATCTCAAAGGTAAATACAAATGCTCAAAATAGTATATGTCTGATGATAATATTTTTAGCTAGTTAAATTAATTACACATTTTCAAAAAAACAAAAAAAACAACAAAAAACAATGCTTGATAAATAATGATCTACAAGTCTTTTCAAACTTTTTGTCATGACTTTCATATTATCTAAGAAAATTTATCTAAACAAAATCAGTTCATTTCTTTAAATTATGTAAAAACCAAAAAGCACATAAAAAAAAAGATACATGGCTGAAATGTTTCTAATATAAGACAAGATGGAACATTAAATGAAAGTGTTGAATGTAAACAATCGAGAAGTTCAGATTGTTTAGACATTAAATTTTAACAACACTTTTTGCCCATGACTGCCTATCAAAGAAGCCAACTTTAAAATGCTCAGCAGTTTAAACAAAATTCAATTTTTTTTTTTTTTTTTTTTTAAATGTAAGATTTATGAATATTTTCATATTTTCAAAGAGAAATTTCTGGCATTTTAGAATATGTCCACTGAGAGTGAAACGGCTGTGATAGAGGAATTTTACAAATATATCAATAGAATTTTCATTTAAACACTTCTGAATGTAGTAAACTATATTTGAAATGACTTCCAATTTCCAAGAAGACTAATCAAAGAAAATTAATTACATATCGACAATATCAATTTTGGAGGAAAATTTAAAATTTGAATTATGTCATAAATACTAATATTTTTTTTTATTATAGATAAATAATATGAAAAGAATTAAAGCCTATTGCATGTGTTATTGATAAGCTTAAATACTTTCTGAGAATAGGACATTAAACATCTGTTAAATAAATTAAAAAGTTATGTCTACATTCAAATGAGGAAAAGTAATTTTATTAAGCTTTGAAATCTTATTGGAATAAAATATTTCTTGCCTACAACTTACAAAAATAATAATAATAATGAATTGATTTCTTTAAAAGAAAGAAAAACAAACAAAATCAGATAACTGTTAATACAATAAAAAGAAATAGAATTTTAATGTTTTTAACAGAACTATTATAAAATGAATGAGAGATAATAACTTTTAAAATGTAATTTTCAATTACAAATAAATCATGAAACAAAACAGCAGTGTACAATGTTTTAATGTGCGCAGCCGAAATTTCAGATCATTTAAAAACTGCATCATTAACCCTGAGAGAATTTCTCATTAAGAATCAATTAAAATGATCAGACAAGCAACAGTTCTAATGCCAACTACAAACCAATAAATGTTTTCATAATGAGCTTAAAAATTACTTTAACTTTTAATTGCTTCAATAAATCATACATTTTTCAATTATTCTGAGTGTTAATAAATTTCTTTGACCATATGAAATATTCTGTTTTAAAAGTGTGAATTTTTGTTTTTTTTCTAAAAGTAACACTTATTGGTTATCCACTAAAAGAATAGCTTTGTTATCAGATTAAAGAGGTCAAATTAACATTTCGAATCAATACTTCCTGAAACATACAATCATATGCATATTGAAGAGAATAAAGAAAGACAAATTTGCAAATGATTCAGATCAACAATCTTATTTTACAGATACCTGACCCAAACACCTATTGTGGCATAAGACTGCATATTATTTGCTAATCCATTCATAGGCAAATTTTGGCAATTGAAGATAATGTATTTCTAAAGAAGATTTTAGAAAACACTTTGAAAGACAGTCATGGATGTTCAAAGAAAAAGATATTTTGAAATTAAAAATAATATAGTAAACAATTTAAAAAAAACAAAAAACAAAACAAAACATCTATAATTACATGCTAACAATTTAACATTGATGATCAACAAAAATATAAAAATAACCAAAATTTACAGAAAATTGTTATAAATAGACGATATATGCATGCTAATTACAGGATTTTTGTATTTTTTTTTCCAAACAAAAGAAAAAAAATGTTACAAATTAGCTCTTATAAAATTGATCAGCAACAAAATGAAAAATAGTTACAATCATCTTTTCTTTAATAAACAACAAAGATTGAATTTAAAAAATACAAAAAAAATATTTATTTTGGTTGTATATTATTGCATTTTTAAAATCATTTCTACTTTGAGGGTCAAAACTTAGGAAATGACAGAATGTATTTTAACAGAAACAAACTTTAAATCCATGGAAGAAATGAACATTAATGTTACTTACTTGTTCACACTCCTTCATTGTATTTGCTCTCATGGGCGTCAGCCGTTCACTTATGGTAGGAGGATTCACTAAAAACAATGCCAAATAAAAATATATTAATCCTTTTCTTTTCACATAATCATATGAGCAAAATGGTATGCAAACCTATTGCAGGGAGTAATCATTAAAGGAATGTTGTTTTTTAATTTAAAAAAAAAAAAAAAAAAAAAAAAAAAAAAAGAAAAGCAAACCAAAAAAGATTCCAAAAATACTCAATGGATTGCTTTTTACATTATTTTGACAGAGTTTGTTAATTTTAATAAAATACTAACTTTCTATGCTCTATTGATATACAAGATAATAGATTAGTCATGTGTCATGTCCAAAGTCAAAAAAGTGATTAATGAAACTTACTGAAATCAAATATTCAAATAGGGGTTTTCATTACATATTACCTCCTGATAACATACCAGAATGGAATAAAAAGGCATGGTTTCCTGTGTGTGAACAATCACTAAGTTCCTAATTTTATATTGTGAACTTTTTACCATATATAATTTTGCTTTGTAAACATCAACAGAGTTTGATTTTTTTCTTTACTATGAATTCTGAAGTGGATGGAGGGGTAAATCATTTTTACATATTTAAAAATAAAAACTCAATCTATTTTACATTCGGAATTTGTTAAAAAAAAAAAAACAAAACAAAAACTAAAAATATATTTCAATCAATGACAAAAACATTTAAGCTAAAGAAAGAAACATTTCAGGAAGAAAAAAAAATAACTAACAATGAATATTAACTACTTAAAATATGGATTTAATCTAAAATCAAGAGAAGAAACAAATCTCTTCTAAGCATTCAGCTAACCTCTAGCCAAGTTAACATTTATTATTAGATAGAAAGACATTCTTTTTCTTTTTTAAATTTGCCATTCAAAGCAGAAACAGTTTAGTAATAGAGTAAAAAAAAAAAGTACAGAATTACCTATTACCTATATATGAAGAGCAAGTTAAATATTTTCTGTCTGAATTTCTGGGATGAAGAGTTATCATTATTTACATATAGACTATTGTCCTCATCTTTGTTGTCGATTGTGAGTTCAATCCCTGGGTCAGGCAGTGTATACTTGGACTCAGTAGAATCAGGACAAGCAATAATTGAGCAGTACTAAATAAGAACTAGATGAGATATACTTAGACATGGACAGTGGAATGTGAACAGTCTACCCCCATAGATTAAATAAAGGGTTCAGTTCAGAATTCCCTGTAGGTTATGCGAATTGACAACATCAGGTGAAGGCTGGAGGGCACAACAGCCAAAACATTGTGATAACAACAACAAAGATGAGGATAATGGTCCACATATAAATAACGTAAACAAGATATGTTACAAAGGACATTTGCAAAGAGTTTTGTTAAAATAGAAATTATTTCATTGGTAAACTTACATATGAAGAGAAATTATTAAGGAATCATTAATTCATGAATACCATGTAATTTTACTTAATAAAGTTTAAATATTTAGAAAATATCACTAATTCTATTCAATGAACACAGCTTTCAGATAAAAATGACTTTTTATAATGCATATGATTTTTTCTTCTAAACAAATAATAGTTACTAAATCTTGTATAAATTTTTCATACTTTACACCTGTCGGCTATTGCTTGCAATAATGCAAAACTGAAAATGCCAGATATCGAAATATGAAAATGTTTAAAAACATGATGAAAGGAACAAGAATTTGTGTTTCCCATTTACTGTTAGCCATGATAGAAACAATATTTTTTAATATTTTACTCCCAGGAAATTCTAAATGATAAAATAATAGATTAGTAAATGCACAACAAACAAAACTGATGTATCATCCTTAAGCACAAAATTAAAAAGTACCAATAAGCTGATAGCATATACAATTATACTGAAGAATGTGCAAATACAAGTACTGAAAATTCAGCATAGTAAAGTTAAAGTATAAAATTATCAGCATTTCATACAAGAATAAAAACAATTAGTCAAATAAAGTAGACAATCAATACAGAGTTTATAATGGGGCCTCCCTATGAAAACAGGCTTTGATAAGTTTTGCTTAAAGAATATTTTGGACAAAAATTAATTGGTTAACAAAAAAGTCACATTGATTAAAAATTATTCCTTATTTTTATTAGAGAAAATTAAAAAAAAAAAAAAAAAAAAAAAAATCTAACAGAACATTTTTTTAATGAGCTAAAGTGATTTGAATTAAACCACATTTTCTATCCACTATCACCAACAATCATCTCTTAATGCTATAAAACATGGCAGGTACTGATTAAATTATTACGTATTTTTTTTTTTTTTTTGTTTTGAAGAAAGAGCCAATAAAATCAGAGAGCCATACTGAATTGACTCCTTTATACTGAACTGACCATATTCAAAATTAAGCTTTTACCAATTTGCATCATAATACATTTTACAGAGAAGAATAGGAAAATAAAAAAAGCACTGACTGAATGAATGCATAATAGATAACTTACCAAACCTATATCAAGAGAAAATTTAATGAGAGAAAATCCAAAACTAAACCCTAAGATTGGTAAAGATTGCTGAGTTGGATTATCATTAAAAGAATTACAAGAAGGTTGATCTTTGAATAGCTGGACATTGTACAAGAAGCAAGACTGCAAGTAATGTTTATAAAAAGAAAGTAAATATTTAACTGAGAGATTTAAGAAGTTGATGTGAAAAGTAGGAAAGAATAAGAGACGAGTGAAGATTGTTTTTGTAGGGACAAACCCAAATGGCAATGCGCCAATGATAGGCAGTAATTAGTCACCAATAGACTATTGATCAGTCTCAAGTTAGCTTTCAATGATTGAGCCTGGCATGTTATTTGGTAATATTAAAGAAGAATGTTTCTCAGTCAGTCTGAATCACCATTACACCAATAAATTCTGGAATATTAAAAAGGTTTGTGATAAACAAAATGTATTGTCTAATATAATCTCAATCTATACATATTATCTTTTGTTAAGCAAAAAAAGAAAAAAAGAAAGTAAATGTAACTTTTTGTCATTGTTTTGAGGAAAAGTTAAATAAATAAAATTGCAATGCTCTTAATTTTGATAATCTCTCAACTTTACTAGTAAAAGAAACTTCTATAAAAAAAAAAAAAAAAAAAAAAAAAAAAAAACAAAGGGCAAAAAGTTCTTACTTTTTAAAGGAAATCACATTATTTCTATTTTATGAATTTCCCATAAAAAATAAAATAAAAATTCATATACTCGAAAGATATGGAAAAAAAAATTATTCTAACTTCAATTGCATTTGCTACTTGGTTAAAAAAAAAAAAAAAAAAAAAAACTTGTGATTAAAGTTCAATTGCTTTTTATTAATCAAAGTTAAAAGTTCAAACTAAAAATGCATTTTCTTATTAGTACCTTATATAATACATTTTAGCCTACAGTAATGCTGCTAGAGTTTAAATTAGTTAAATTAAACTTTTGAATATGCCTCCACACTCTACAAACTGATAAGGCCTCATTGAAGGTTTAAAAAAAAAAATAAAAATAAAAAGGTGCCCAATATCAGTCTCAATTTCTTAAAATAATTGGATAATATTCAGGATTTTCTGGCCAAAAACAAATTCACAACATGCTTGAGATAAAAGGTACCTTCATTATGAACAAATGTATGCTTCATTACATGTTAATTAAAAATATCCTTCAAAATCCTGCTAAGTAATTATTAAATAAATTTTCATTGAATCTCATTTCTGTAATGGTTATTTTTAGATTTTAAATTAGACTTTAATTCCTTTCTTTTGACAAAAATATAAAAATAGTCTCAAAGAAAATACCTTAGGAAAAAGTCACAAGAAAGAAAAAACACAATACACATTATAAATTATTGAATGTATTGCCTGAAAGTAGAAAAAATGTCTTGAATCTTTGTATAAATAGGTCATATTTTATGACTAAATTAAATATGACTTCAGTAAAATACAAACATCATATCCATAAAAAAGATAACAGGATTATTTACATATGGCTCAGTACTTCTGATCAAACTGTAATATCTTTCCTCTTCATATTATTGTTTTGCAATTAAAACCAAAATTAAAACGTAAAATGATGTTTAAATTAATTTTTGAAGATTTTTATGAAAAGGTCTGTGGTCAGTCTTTTTACTTAATAACTAAAGAAAACCACTCTCCTACTTAATGAAGCCACCAATTTATGTCTAAAGATACTAAAAGTTTAAAACCTGCTTTAAATATACAAAAGTAGTTTTTCTTTTTATACCATTCAATTTGGACTTTTTTTTATGCATACAAATTATGAAAAGTTGTATTTGGCCTCCACTTAGGTATACAGGTGTGTGCACATGTATGTGTCTTTAAACATTCTTCTCAGAATAAAAATAAAATTACAAACCATAATTTATAAATACATAGTCCTATAATTTTTTTTTATTTAATGTACTTATTATGAACAAATATCCATCTACACCTTTCAATAAATAATAAAATAACATGTGCAAATATGTCTGCAATTATTGGTAAATGGAAGCCCCTGTTATGTGGCCCCTGACACATGATAAGAATAGAGAAGCAAGTCAACTTTTTAGGACCTGAAATGGTGATGATGTGAAGGCTTCTACGCATTCTTCAGTGGCTCATGAGGAAAAACCTGTAAGGATATCAACTACTTGCTAATATCAGCACATAGCAATCATCCAACTACAAATTACTGCAGAAGTTAACAATATGATGCCAACATCTTTGCTTTTCTTTTCATCCTTCACATACCAAACTATGCACTTTAACTCTACAAGAAAGATGCTTCCTAAAAAGATTGAAGTAGAAATTTCAATAGAAATATCATTAATGGATTCATGCAGATAAACTCAATATGATTATGTGATTGAGAGAGAGAGGATCTGAAATCTGAAAGGATTTGATGAACTGAAAACGGAAATCAATTTTCATTTAGATTAATATTAGCTGTGGTGTATATTTTTGATTGGTTGATTGGTTTTCTACAGCTTATCAACCATTTGCAGTTTAGTTAAAGACAGAAAATATGTTTACATTGTAAGAATTTTTT